TACCATAAAAAAATAATAAAATAAAAATCGATAAAAACATGGTATTGCGCTGAAAGCTTAAAAAATAGCTGTGCCTCGGTGTCGCCTTTACGGGTTTGTTATCGAAGCTTCATCGCTCCTTTGTCGAATGATTTTGATGGAGAAAGCTCTATCTTGATGTGTTTTATATTGATGGAAAACATTCGATAAGCTGATAACACAGCCTTAGTAAACAGAGTTGTTTTGTCTTACAGCATTTGAATCAGTTGTTTTCAAAAGGGAACAAGTCCATTTTTGCATGAGCCTTTGCTCGCATTAAAGGACATGCTGACCAAGACTCATCGAAGAATGGACCTGGTCCCTTTTGAAAAAAACTGATTCATTTATGCCCTGTCCCTGTAAGGATTACGAGCCGCTCTTTTAACGTAGCATGAACTGATGTAGTGGTTACGCCCCCTAGTTTTATGTTACATGCAGATTTCGAGGATCAATGTAAACACAGTATGTGCATGGACATGCGTTCCTGCACGCGATTACTTTGAATTGTAGTAACTCCGGATATTAGTGTCCATGAAATTTCTGCTGATTGTACACTGGAAAAAAAACACATTGGATATAGAGTCCAGACTCTTAAAAACATCGACAAGAAAAAGTACTCTTGATTCAATCAGAACCTAGCTTAAACCAAGAACCCAGTCTCTTAATTTAAGCGGATTTCGTTCAAGCAAAAATCCGATTGAATCAAGAGTATTTTTTCTTGTCAATGTTTTCAAGAGTCTGGACCCTAGATCCAGTGTGTTTTTTTTCCACTGCAATATTGAGCAACGCTGTCGCTTACGGAAGTTGAGATTTGTAAGATTACGCTGCCTGGTGTATCATACCCGAAAAATCTAACGAGAAAATTCAGAAGGGGATAGAATGGCTAAGTGCGATCAAAATTAGATTTGAAAATACTAGCTTGTGTTATTCATTCATAAATGAATGAATGGACCGCATTAATTAGAAAGTAACCGAAATGTCAACCTAGTTTCTGAATCGTTGCTATGAAGATACATATTTTCCCTTAACTTCTGGTAAAAACTGGAGCAGAAAGTCAAGAATGATGACCCACAGTCCTGCAGCATTCTTGCAGTCTAGTAAGCGCTAATGTGCGCTTCACGCCGCAACTGACCGACTGCACGACGTTTGGCGTAATGCGAGAAGTATTCATGCAGTCTTGTAGGCGCTCCGCGCTGTTTGGCGCAATGCGTGAAGTATTCCTAAAGTCTTGCAGGCGTTAAAATTCGTTCAACGCCGGCCACACTGTGTTAGACGCGATTATTCAAACTCGCTTCAAAATAATCGCGGCATCGAATAATAGAGCTTATTAGGCCTATGTTGTCTTTCGACGCCGTATGAGCATTCCAACGTTCTCTCGTTTCTCCCGATTAAATATTTTTACCAAGAAAGTTCAGGAAAGTTCTTTATACCCACGACCAATATTCAATCTTTTCACTTCATTTATCATCAGAAGGTATGACATCGATGCGACTTGTCAACCAACTACCCTAAATTAACGTTAACATAAAAATGCGTTTTTTTTCCAACTGTTTCCAGTTTTGCCAAACTTCTACCTTATATCAAATTCATTTTAAATTGGCGCATTCCTGTAGCAGACGCAAAGGTTTCTATTCGCGCAATCCTCGTTTATTTTCTTAGACCTTTCGCGCAATCCTGGATTACCGTTAAACTTTCGACTAACTTTTTAACCGACTATTAACTTCAAATTATTCGAAAATTGAAAACTTTCCAGTTCCCAAGTCAAAGTTCTAATAATCAGTCGAAAACCTCTTAAAATTTAAGCTCGAATACTTAAGCCCCCAAGTACTGATATTTTACGAAATCCCAGCACAGATGCTGATGTACACCCAGAAGCCCTGGCGTGCATCCCTATCCCCTGTGCGTAATCGATTACTGAATTTTTGATTATCCAAACGATTAATCAACGAATCGGAAAACCCCTACTGGTCTAAAACCCTAAAACCCTATCTAAAACCCTAACTGGAAATGGACGGACGCTGGGTCAAATGGAGACCCTGAATCTCATTTTGGATAATTTCACTGAGCAGCAATTGCTATGCAGTCCTCCTAACTTTTTGTTCGCCTTTGATTTCGCGATAGCAGTGCCTCCAGTGTGTTTACCGAGCAACGATTTGTTCTCTAGGCAAATCACTTGACAGCCAACAAAAAGGTAATTTCAAGGATTATGTGGTGGAAAACGCAAGTTTCAACCTGCGTCGCCAAGAGGCTTAATAGAGGATCTCTATTCGTCTTTTGATGCGCGGCGAAAAAAATTAGCGAAAAATATACATTTCCTACAAAGCGCATGGAGCCCGTAGTGCGGGGTCTCGAAAATATATTTTCCCCTGCACTAAATCTACGCAGAGGGGGGGGGGGGGGGGTGTAACCCCTAATCTATTCATTTGCGACGTCTAATGGCGGTAGGACACTTTAGAAGATTGCAAGCTCCATCTACTAGTTGAATATCTTTGGCCTGGTGCCATGATGAAAAGAAAGAAGAAACACATCTGGATATTCTGCTCGCCCGATCAAGAAAGAAAAACGCTTTTCATCATGGGCCACCCGCTGGGCCTGGCTCGCAGCTGGCATTAGAATGCAAGGAAGCCGAGTGCCAGAGCCCTTTCCCAGATCGTCCAAGCTCCAGATGAATGTAAACGGAATGCTTTGCACACTTTCGTCTGCTCGACTTGTCTCCCACTTTTCGCGATCGAATATCGTGCATCGAATGGATTGATCAGTGCTGAGTGATGCCGATGATCTGTGAAAGCAGGAGCCAATCAGAGTTTAGATTCTTTTTAATAAAATTGAGAAGAAACTACGAAACACTAAAACACAGCAAATTGCAAAAACAACAGACCTGAATTCACAAAACACAAGAACAGAAAGAAATGACGAAATAAAAATTCTGGTGAAAGATGAAGTTTCTGGCATCGATTGGATCAATTCAAAAATCGAACTCAAGTCCCGAGGTGAATTCAAGATTTCAAGTTGATGGATTTCAACGGTCTCCGGTGGGACCAACAAAGAAGTCGAATATAATTTCTAAAAAAATGCACTATCGTCGAATGTCATTCGACGATGAATGATATTCGATGTATGAATGATATTCGTCAAAAATGCCAAGAAAAATTCATCTAAAAAAATTGTTTTATTGTTAAGCTTTATGAAAGTAATTTTTTGGCCGATTTGAGATAAGGTATAAACTTTGCTCTTTGGTGAATAAGAAATGTGGACCATCGAATACTGAAAATGACACGGGTATCTCTTGGACAGAAATAGTAGCACCCGCCACCCGAGCGGTATAATTGAGGAATCCAGAGCGCCTGCAATTTTCCGGCATGCCACACTGACATCCTTCCAGCACGAATAGTCGCATTCAGATATTTCCATTAAGAAAGCCACGGCGCCTTCAATTTGATCCGCTCGTGATAGCTAAATAAATATGCTTAAGGAATATTTATCATTGCACAAATGATGGGATGTTGGACTGTTTCATTAAGTGAAAAGACAGCTCATGAATGAGTATTAAAACTCATTTAAAAAATAAAACAGGGCGGTTGCTGATCCATTTTCATAAAAATCTCATTTCATTGGCAGCTGACATTGAGACATTTTGTTAGAAACGTCGCATAAGATTTGCAGTGCCGCTCAGATAACACACCTTCGTATCTATTTTAGCAAATCAAAGTAGATTACATGTTTTTCAGCAGATTAGGTCATTTTTTCATATTTCCTGTAACAATTCTCCATTTTAGAAACCTAGGATACTCTCGTACTCAATGTACTCAATAGTTTCCACTTGAATATAAAATTCACGAAATTTCAGTTACGTGCGAATTCTCCGTGGCTCTGGTCCTTGTAAAGAAGTTACTTAAGCATTTCTGTGTTCATGGTCTTTTCGGGTCATTTTGAGTTACTTATTTTGGCTAGATCAACCAAAAGGTCTTGGTGGATCGAGCAATTTTTTGGTTATATTGACCGGAACCGCAGGTCACTCTGAAACATCTGGGGATGAATAAAACTTCCTCCTGAACTAATGTACTCTTCTTTCTCTCCGCAACACCAAGAGGTTGCGACTTGCGAGTGGGTAGCTCACGAATGCGATCCAGAAGGCTCTGGCGTTTCGCTCCTGATTTTTAACGATGTTGGAAATTTCAAACCCAAAATTTTGGTCCATGTTGCCCAAAGAAAAACTAATTTGAAAATATTAACGTCTCGTTTAAGGTACTTTGTGTTCTACTTCCCATATTAACACAAAATGCCGATTGCTTTTTCTTACCGTGAACGACTAAAAAAGCACGCAGGATCCAAAATACACTAAGTATGAGTATCGTGAGGACTATTATTTTTTCTCCGCGATAATATTGAAGAAAAGTTTATGCCATGATCCAATGGTCCAGTTACACGATCAAATCGAGCCATCAAATTGAAGCTCTGATTGGTGGAAAAAGGCCTGAGGTGAGGATGCGACCAATGAGAGGCCCACTTTGATGGCTCAATTTGATCGTGTAACTATGGACCTTTACGATACGCTAAGTAAAATTATTATTTGGCTGTTTAGTTTATAGTTTATCTTATTTGTTGCTATAAAGAAATAGAGAGGGAATGAAAACATGGGTAAACAATAGGCTAAAACATCAAATAACACTAAAAGGCAGGACATTCCGAACCAACGCATTTTCAGCCACAAAAACGCGATGAAATAAATAAAAAAAAATGAGTGGTGACCCTATTCATTTTTTCGTGTTTCTGCAGCCGAAAATGAGCTGATAACAGCTCGAAACGTTCTATCTTTTAGTATTTCTTAATGTTTTAGCCTTGTGTATCCATTTTTTAATTCCCTCCCTGTCGTTCGCATATTCGGGGTATATTTTTTTGTGCTTGATCGTTTGTTGATGTATGACGCACCACGCAGAGATTCTATTTGGTACTTATTTTATTTGACCGTTTTTGTGTTGCAGACGTTCCGGCATGGATTCCCGTATCAACCAACAGCTGTTGCTTTCGACCCCGTTCAGCGGCTTTTGGCAATCGGGACAAAGACTGGCTCTCTGAGAATGTATCCTTTTCCCATTCATTCGTGCAACACAGTCCTAGTGAAACTGTTGACGCGGGAAAGGGGCCTTAATGCATCGTAAGAAAATTTGTAGAAAAAAATAGTCGGTCGGTCCCGCTAGTCTTAAAATTTTGGTTCGATGGTTTTAACTCTGAGATCAGCAAAAATAGAGAGGAAAAATCTGTTTAAAACGCCACGTTTGTACGTCCCCAATATTATTGGGAAAGCTCATCGAAAAACATGGCGTATATGGCGTCATCCACCGCGGTAGTGCATACCTTGGTTTCTTCCTCCTCGGTTTCACCTATCAGCGATACACCTATTGAATTGATTTGAAGATACACCTTCATAAAAACGTGATGGTATCTCAATTTTGAATTTGTCGACTTTAAGGTCCCTTTTTTCCCGTCGTGAACCGTTTCGTAATTAGTTTTCGTCAGGCAGTGTACAGCAAGGGTAAGTAATATTCAATTTCTATAGATGTTCACCAGATGCGAAATTCCTCTACGTGCCGTGTCAGATAATTTAGTGTTCAAGTTAGGACTTTTTATGATTCGTGCAGTGACGTGACGTGCTTTGCGATGTATCGATTGTTGTGATTGTTATGCCATCTAAACCCACGGAAAAGGATCGATTAACAGGGTGTTCGCAGCAAACACCTTAATAATAGATTCTTTACCATAGGTTTAAATGACAGAACAATCGATACATCGCAATTCACGCCACGCCCCTGGATTCATGTTACACCCTTTTATTTTGTGAGACGGTGTTTCCAAAATTCCAGTTAATAAAGGGTGGGTGGTGTTCTGCGAGCTGATTTTTGAAATGACAGAGTTATAGGTAAAGGAAGCAAAAAGAAAATATGTAGAGCAATCCTATCGGTGGAAGCGGGTGGTTGCAATGGACAATAACACTAGTATGCAATAGAAAAAGTAACGACAATCCACAAGAGACCCCATACCTAGTCCATTATTTTTCTCTTCAGTCTATGGCAACCTCCCATCTCAACCTACAGGATCGCTCCATTGTCTCTTTGTCTTCTTTATCTATCGCTTTGTCCATCAATTTCAATGATCTGACCATAGGGGTGTCATTTCGTCGTCTCCCGCACGAAAAAACGTAACTGCATTTCAACGTTGCCAAATTTCCCCTCGCAAATTGCAGTTTTACCCGGAAAATTTTGGGAATTAGATGAAAATTTCCCTGATTTTTCCCTCTGATCCAGTTAAAAAATCGGAGACGTTCAGTAGAAAAATTGCAGCGGTACGTTTTCTGAGAAAATTGAACTGTTTGAGTTAATTCTTCAGTTTTGGAATCGAGTTACGTTCCTTCGATCGGGGAACAACGATTTGTGGGGAGGAATGGGGAGATCATTTGCCTCCCCTCTTATCCATTCTTAAGCTGGTCCAATATTCAGTTAATTTTGGTGGATTTTGATCAAGTTAAAAGCACTCTTTTGAAATTTTGCCCCCCTTTTAGAGAATTGCCTCGATTGAACAACATTTGCAACCCCTCCCTTGTCCTCCCTGGATTTATCTGAAATATGACCCCTGTGGGTATTATATGGGCTACATTGTGCAATAAATAACCACGCGTGTGTCTCGCTCAGCCATAAAAACTCATATCTGCATAAAAAAACCCATAGCATTTATGTTGTTTTATAGGTATCTGAAAATAGGCTCTTTTTGCAGAATGTAGTTCATATGAAATAAGCGTGATCCGAACGTTACACATCATGGCTCGGTCACTCAATTCAGGAACGCGGTGCAATGCAACTGAATTAGTTGTTTTCAAAAGGGAACAAGTCCTTTCCTCGATGAGTCTTAGTTAGCATGTCCTTTTATGCAAGCCAAGGCTCACACAAAAATGGACTTGTCCCCTTTTGAAAATAACTGATTCAACTGCCTCCTTGTTTCCTTCTTCTCTAAAACTTAATGTGCCGTTCCCTCGACCCAGGGTGTCTACGAGTCCGGAATTTCCGGAAAGTCCGGAAATAGTACTGATTTTTTAAGGGCGGTCCGAAAGTACTGAAAAAGTGCGGAAATTCCGCTAAATGGTCCGGAATTTTTTAAAAAATTTTGTCATTTTTGTCGCAATTTCAAATTTTTGAAATTTTTTCTAATTTCGTCAAACGGAGGTACTGAAAAAGTGCGGAATTTTTCTGTTGGGGGAGGTACTGAATTTCTTGAGAAGTACTGAAAAAGTACTGTAAAAGTTCTTATTTTTGACCATCCTGTTTTAGTAGACACCCTGGGCCCCGACCTCGGGCAAAGATAATCAGGTCCTTTCTGTCACATTGTTTATAACGTATGGTTTCAACCACAATTTTCCTCCAGCCTTCTTTTCCTTATGATTTACATCACAAACTTCCGATTTCGTTTAGAAAAAGCTGCGACTATTATCACCTCAAGCATCAATACATACAACGCGAAGACCCACCAGTCAATCAATAGATAGATTGTGCATTACATTGAGGTACTCTCACCACAGAGCGGAAAATCTATCTCGAATAACCCCCCAACTTCTCCTAACTTCTCTCATGCGTCACCCCTCGTCGCAATTACTATCGGGAAGCAAAGAAACAAACGCGGGTTAAAGGATACACGGCGGCCAGTTCAGTTCTTCTCGCGACGTCACGAAATCTGTCGTCGCGATACTTTTCCCTTTGAAATGGGGTTGGATTTTCGACGACTTTCAATTTCAACTTTTCTACTGAAATTCGATCGAACATAGATGGAAAAATCGGGTATCCTCATTTTTTTACGCTCTTCCCGAAAATGAATTTTAAGAAATCATGCAACTGTTCCGCTCCCATCAAGGCTACAACTCCGCCACTATCTTGTCTGCTTACATTGAGCCTGAAAGGTTCCACGAAAACCTGAAACTCATAAACCAATGAAAAAGCGGCGCAGTTTCATTGCACTAAAAGGATTTATATTTTCCCTTTACTTATGGTAAAAACTGGAGCTGAAAGTCAAGAATGATGACCCGCGCGCAGTCCCACAGCATTCCTGCAGTCTTGTGAGCGCTAATATGCGTTTCACGCAGCAACTGACCGACTGCACGACGTTTGGCGTAATGCGAGAAGTATTCATGCAGTCTTGTAGGCGCTAATATGGGCTTACGTCGACCGCACTGTTTGGCGCAATGCGTGAAGTATTCCTAAAGTCTTGCAGGCGTTAATATTCGTTCAACGCCGGCCGCACTGTATTTGACGCAATTATTCGAAGTTGCGTAAAAACAATCGTGGCATCGAATAATAGAGCTTATAAGGCCTACGTTGTCTTTCGACTCCGTATGAGCATTCCAACGTCCTCTCGTTTCTCCCGATTAAATATTTTTACAATATTTTCCCCTTTGGAATGGGATTGGATTTTCGACGACTTCCAATTTCAACTTTTCTACTGAAATTCGATCGAACATAGATGGAAAAATCGGGTATCCTCATTTTTTTTACGCTCTTCCCGAAAATGAATTTTAAAAAAAATCATGCAACTATTCCGCTCCCATCAAGGCTACATCGCTGCCACAATCTTGTCTGTTTACATTGAGCCTAAAAGGTTCCACGAAAGCCTGAAACCAGGGACGAGTTCTATAGGACGCCGTTCTGTTGTGAGCGGGTGATTGCAGCGCATTCTCGCGTAGGATCCTAGTCAACTCAGAGGATCCTTCCCCCCGAACCTCGACTCATCCATCGCCCGCTCCAAAAGTGAGGTTAAGCCGGAGATTGAATAATAACACATAAGGCGGCTGAATTCTTGAAAAATAAGTATATTTTTGGCGTTTTTCGACCCCTTTCGACATGGAAGGGTCCTCCGCATATAATAGTATGGTGAAAAATTCGATTTTTCGCAGTTATACGCGATCCTACGGATTTTAATGAAGTCCAACAACTGATAACAGCAGTGAGTTGCGAGGATCCTACGCGCGATAGCAGCACTAGTACCTGCTCACGAATTTTTACATTGACTCTTACGGGAGTCCAGGGTCCTATAGAACTGGTCCCTGCTGAAACTCATAAACCAATGAAAAAGCGGCACAGTTTCATTGCACTAAAAGGATTGAGATGAAAATACTTTCCCTGTACGAGTACTCCAGTTGTACTAGCTTGTTGCTCGCAAAGTTTCAGCGAGAATCATCGTAGGGAGATTCGCAGTTCGTAAATCGTAAATCTCCCCCCCCCATCCCCCGCTGGCGCAGGAACTCCGCTCCGCGAGAGTAAAACCTCTTCCCGTAGTCGAAATAGACGAATATCTCTCCGAACTCGGGGAGTAATCGAGTTAGGTCATTCGTTTCGCAGTCGCCTCCCTAATTGAATTGCGTTCCATTCTCTCGGTGGCTAAAAAAACTATCAAGCGCGGGGCGTCCGTCGTGCAGCCAAGCTTGGCGTCCACCCAGGACTCCCCTCGCCCCCGATTTGAATATGCATACGAGACGGGGTGGCAAAAAGTGGTTGTGGGAACGTTGTCACTACGTAACCGCGAAAATGGACCACTAGACAAGGTACGAATTTAAGCATTCTGATACATTTTTCTTAACCAGAATTTCACGTAGAACACGATTCGCGCAACAAAAATTACTGAAACCAACTGTTCACGGAGATATTAACATTTTTATTTCACATTGGTTACGAGGAATTTGAACTGCCCGCTCCCAAGAAACTCAAAGCTCTACGTGAGTCAAATCGCGCACTACAACGGTTTCAGCAAGCTTCTCAATCGAGCAATGTTCATTTTCCACCATGTGTTTTTCGAACTATAAGCAATTTGCTATAGCTGAGCCAAAGCGTCAAGATTGAGGTTGCCAGATTTTCATATCGCAGAGACTGTCATGATAACGTTTAGCACGCGATGTGAATCACGCAGAGCATTGAGTTTTCATGAGCGGGTGGTTTGAATTCACGCATCAAGAATCATTAAATATCTTCGTAAGGAGTTGATTTCGGTAATTTTCGTTGTGCGTATCGTGTTCTACGTAAAATTTTGGTGAAGGAGCACGTATCA